TTTTCTTGTGGCTCCTTTCCGTACCCTTTCTCTTAAGTGGGTAGCAATTTTGTTGTTGTGGCCACAGATGTGATTCTCTCTGCTCTCGTCCTGGTGTTGCTTTGCTTCTTCAGTTTGTGGCTTGATGTCTTTTTTCAACTTTGGTCATCCTTGCCCATTAGCTTTTCAAAGCTTGCATTGGCCTGCTCTTTCATTCCTCTATTCATGCCTATCCTAGGTCTTATCTCTGTTCTCACCTTTGGTCTCTTTCTGCATTGTCCTGGTTGTATTTTCTTCTGAACTCTCTTCCAGGTCACTGAAACTTTATTTGCCTGGAGCTACTTTGTTTGTTTTTTGTAGCAGGGATTGAACTCAGGACCTTGCACTTTAGAGGCAGGTGACAGCACCACGGAGCTAAATAAATCCCTGGCCCCATGAGCTGCTTTGTTCTTAACCCATCCACTGTATTCTTAATTCAAGTTAAGGTACTTTTCAGGTCCTCGGTTTTGTTTTTAAGGTTCTCAGTTTTTTGGCCAACCCCCCACCCCCACAGTGCTAGGGCTCAAACCCAGGGCCTGGTGTGTGCTGAGCGAGCCATCAGCCCACCGCCAATATGCTTCATGCCTTCCATCCTAGCGAGTAAAGACAGAGCGAGGAAACCACCCCCAACCCCGTGCTCCTGCTTTAAAGACCCAGTGGATGTCACCAGACACAATCTTTCCACACAGCCACTTCCTTTTTAAAAATGCTGCTTTTTTTTGCTTCTACAACATCACCAACCTCTGGTTTTATTCTCAGTCCTTTTTACCCCCTTGGTACTGGGGGCTGAATTTGGGGCCTTCACACTGAGCTACATCCCCAGTTCCTCTTTTATTTATTTATTTTTTTATTGTGAATCAGAGTCTCACTGAGTCATAAATTGCCCAGGCTGGGCTTGAACTTGAGATCCTGTGCCTCTTGCCTCCCAGAGCTGGGATTATGGGCTTGTGCCACCAGGCCGGATTATTCTGTCTCTGTTGCTGGTCTGTCCTCCTCTGTCTGATTTTTACAATGTGAGCTTGCCTCAGATGGCTGGTTCTGTCACCGAACCTATCACAGAATCGTTGGAGGAGGTTAGTGGTGTTACGGTTTAGATCTAAAATATCCCCCAAAGTCTCACGTATTTGGGGGGACTTATTGGAGGAGGAGGGCCCGTGGGGTGACTTGGAAGGGTGTGATCCTGTCCCCGGCTGCTCACTGCTCCCCTTCCTGGATGTCATGGGTGAGCAGCTCTCCCGCTCCAGGCCCTTTCACCACGCTGTTCCTGCCTTGGAGCAGCCGACCATGGACTGACTCTCCCCAAAACATGAGCCAAAAGGAACTTCTCCTCCTGTAAATTGTGGGTGCTGGGTATGTTGTCCCAGTGATGGGGAAGTGAGTGAGATGCTAAGCTTCCTGATCTCACTAGAGAAGCATAGTGGGCAGCAGCCAGTGTTCGGACCCCTCAAGGCTCAGGCTCCAGTTGATGGTGGTTGGCTGTGGCCGAGCAGCATGGAGCCTCTGAGTAGGCTCGGTGGAGGTCCATGGTCCAGCCAGGAGGGACTGTCTGGAGCCAGGTGGGCCACAGGGCGCTTTGGGCTCTCCAGTCCATGGCCTTGGCCCTCACTGCATGTCTGTCAGCTGCCCCATGCAGGGCTCCATGCGTGACCCTCCCTGTCCTTATTTTGGCCATCCTCAAGCCCACCGCCATCTTTTTCAGCTGCAGTGCCCATCTCCCCTCCTGGCAAGTCACTCCTGTCTTATCTGCTTGATCTTTGGTTATCGTTAATGCTTTCAGATCTTTGTCACTGTCATTTAATAGGAACAGCTGTGTCACAGCAAGGATTTCCATCTGCCAGGAAGCACACAGGGCCAAATACGTACTATCTCATTTAGCACCTAAAGCAGGGCCAGGGATTTAGCTCAGAGGTTCTGCTGTCTACCTCACAAGTATGAGGTCCTGAGTTTGATCCCCAGTATGAAAAAAAAAAAATAAACCTAACTAACACCAAGCACATCTAGCAGGGTATTAGGTGTTATTGTCCTCAGCCTCTGTGAAGTAGAAACAGGCTCTATGACTTGTTCAGGCAAGTGGAGGACTGGAGCCCAGGGTCTGCTCAGAGCCACATCCCTGAAACCTACCAGTCTCCTCTTGGCATCCTGCCCCTCCTTGGACCCGTGGTCCTTCTGTCTGCTCTCCCTCCGGTTGTGGGGAAACCAGCCACGGCCAGCTGCTCTCAGAACATTCCCTGACTCTGGTCACACTCCTGCCAGTCTCCTTGGGGGCTTCAGGTCCTGTGTCTGCTGCCTGCTGCCCCTGCTGTGTTGGATTCTCTCCTTCAGTGAATAAGCACGGTTCCTTCCTTCCCTGTCAGACCTCTGAAGGGCTGTGTGGTTTCGAGTCTGCATGCCCAGCCTCCCGCTGCACCTCTGCCCCGCGCTGCCTTCCTCGAATTCTGTGACTGCCCAAACACATTGGGAGCAGTCCCCAGGCTGCCTCTGCACATACCTGCCACCGTGTGCTGCTCCCAAGGGGTCCTGCTGTTTGAGGGTCTCCTGCCTTTGGCTATCCTTGTTGCGCCCTCAGGGAGACGTGTCACCTAGCATGCCTGGGCTACTTGATCCCTGTGCAGGCCAGCGGGTCCACCAGAGCTTGTCAAGAACCATTTCTCGGGGCCAGGGACTTAGCTTAGCAGTTCGGTGGCCTGCCTCGCAAGCGCAAGGACCCAAATTCAATCCCCGGTACCATAAAAAAAAAAAAAAAAAAAC